GTGTGTGTGTGCGCGCGCGCACGGCTCCTTGCAAGCTGTGAGAAAACATTGCCCCCTGTTTCACTCTACAGCAGTATTAACTTCAAAGTGTCTTTTTTGTCTCCTTTGTGCCTCTGTGGATCCCAACAGGAAATGCTCAACAAGTCTCGTGCAGTTGATACAGGAATCAAGATGGAGGTCAATGAGAGGTAAAACACAGATTAGGACTGGATTTGAGAGCTGCGGGGAATCACTTTACCATAACAGTAGACACAGTCGACTGTCTCCCAGGTGGAAAAGTCTTTCAGATAAGAAAAGCTGAAACCTCAAATTAACTGAATACTGAAAGATTATTGCATCTAAATGAGACTCAGTCGAGTGCAGGAAGACCTGAACTAGTTCAACCTCATTACGCTTACAACAGTATCACATTTTCCTGAAATAGAAACACAGTTGACCCACAAACAAACTTTTCTATTTCTATTATGGCTTTATCAACTCTGCATGAAATGAGAAACCATAACTAAGAAATACTGGAACCATCGGTTGTAAAAGAGAAATGAGAGTGGCTGAAAATATATGAAGATTGAGGAACTGAATCATCTGCTATGGGTAAATACAGCAAGTCTCTAGATATTTGTTTGTGAAAGAGTTAACCACAAAATGTGATGGGTGCAAACAAAGGCGTTGAACTGGAAAAGAAAATAGAGATGCTTTTCAGCAAGGCAGCACAACAGTCACATGATATTTGAGTGCAGTTGCAGGCAGTCAGACACTGTGAGGGCTGATGTGTGAACAATGTCATCAGTTCAGCCGCAAAGCCGGTGAAAACTGAAGTCTGAAGCCGGAGTGGCACACAATGTTTGTCTGCACGACGGCCTTTTCATACATACAAACCTGGAATTAGCTTCATTTAGTTTTCAATTAGTTTTAATGTTGTCATTCCTTTTTCGCTGGAGCAGCTCCACAAACTGTTATCATATTAGAGATGTCTTACACCCAATGGGTTTATTTATATTGTTACTGCTAACAGCTCCAGGAAGTTCAGAAATCTCTTGATTACATTATTGGACAGAAGCTTGGCTTCCTGCTCCAAACTCAACCAGCAGAGTGATTTGTTGCGTGCACATAATCTGGACTTAAACCACCATCAGAAATATCGGTTCATTTTCTCATACTGATATAAGTCTTCTAGTAATTAGGTTTGTATCTTTTCATTTTTAAACTCAAAGAGAAACCAATGTTTTATTCATCAAGCCTGTGTAATAATTTTCTTTGTGTGCAAATTAAGCCAATTAAGTTTTTCCTTTTCCTCTCATTTCTCCCACTGAGTTAATTATTAATGTAAGAAAAAAAGTTGTTTTCTCAGAGAATTTACGTCAGTGGTGCATCGGCCTTGCAATAACTAACCTGTGGGGAAACTTTCTTAATAGTGAGGAGGCTGATTTCTTTCTATTTTGAGCTCCGTCTTTTAAAATGAAGCCTCCCTGTCAAGTCGGGTGATATTTATCTGAGCAGACTGGACAAGAATGAGTTGCATTCATGATATTTGCAGATAAAACACTGAACAGGCAATGTTCACAATGTTTTACTTCCTATCAAAATAGAGACATCAATATAAGCAGCAGCTGTAGAGTGTAACTGTTGCTCTGTCACCCCCTGCAGGATTTTGGCCTCCTGCACGGAGCTGATGCAGGCGATCAAGGAGCTCATTCTGTCTTCCAAAACTCTGCAAAGGGACATCGTGGAGAGCGGCAGGGTGAGTTATGCTGCAGTTTTTCTTTTTATTTCTTCCCTAAAGTGAGGAGGAGATCTGCATCGTACTATTTACGGATTTGATGAGACATTCATAATAATTTCTCTTAAATTCACAGGTGGAAAACTTTACTTGCATATGTATTTTAGAGTTCAACCAATCTAAATTTTTTTTAAATCAAACAACTGAATATGCAGCTATAAAAAATACCGTAATACCTTTCAGGCACTCCTTACAGTGTAATGCAGTCTCTGACACACTATTTAACGCAGGGTGTAATATTGGATTGAACTTACAGACCTTTATAGCACCATCACCAGACTAGAGCTTAAACAATTAGTTAATCAACAGATTAGTCGATGGCTGCAGCTTCTCCTCATCCTAAATTACACTAAATTGAATATCTTTTGGTCGGTTTGAGATAAAACAAGACATTCAAAGTGTCAGAGTCTCGATTATTGAAGAAAATAATTGGCAGATGAATTGATATTGAAATAAACATGTATTTTATATTGATATTCCCTCCTTTGTCCACCAGGGGGCAGCCTCCATGAAGGAATTTTATGCCAAGAACTCCCGCTGGACTGAGGGCCTGATCTCTGCTTCCAAAGCAGTGGGATGGGGCGCCACGGTCATGGTGTAAGTATTAGTCCTCCCCCGAGTGTCTCTTTCATAGTGTGAAAGTTCTTCTGTTCATAAAGTTAACAGTGGGAAAGTGTATCGCAAGCAGCTGTGATTACTCCTGAAGAACGAGTGACGTGACCTTTACAAGGAAATAAATAAATAACAATCAAAATCAGGTTTTCTACTTATGGAAGGTTGTTCATAAATCAGGTCGTTCTCACAGAGGGGTCTTAACCTCGACATTAAAAACTGATTCAGTGAACTCCTTGAGTTTATTTTGCACTGCGTTGTGTCGTTCCAGAGATGCCGCTGATCTGGTGGTGCAGGGCAAAGGGAAGTTTGAGGAGTTGATGGTGTGCTCTCATGAAATAGCTGCCAGCACAGCACAGCTAGTGGCTGCCTCTAAGGTGAGTAAGAGTCGTTCTCCCAGTAGAGTCTAAACAGGTCATCGCCCCTTTTTTAATATATAGTGACCCTATAATAGATTTTGAGTAATACAGGTGTAAGCAGCGTTACCGTGTTGTAGCCCTCATGTCTCTCATGTCTTGCTGCTGCTCTCCCTCTCCAGGTTAAAGCAGACAAAGACAGCACCAACCTGCACCGTCTGCAGCACGCGTCCCGCGGCGTCACACAGGCCACCGCAGCTGTCGTGGCCTCCACCAAGTCTGGGAAATCCCAGATTGAAGAGACGGGTAAGAGAACCACACTGTTTTAATGTTGCGTTTGATCATAATACAAAATGTCCAGTTGCTATATTCTGGGTTTGAGGACCTTCAAAGCTACAAGTTAGAAGAAAAACCCAGAAGGTGTTGGAATATAATTTGTCGTTTGTGTCCAGATACAATGGACTTCTCCAGCATGACTCTCACCCAGATCAAACGGCAAGAGATGGATGCACAGGTAAGCAGCAGAATATAGACAGACACTGAGTAACATAGCTCAGTTGTGCGTCTTAAAAATAATGTTTTAAATTAAACCGAGAAGCAACCTTGCTCTAGGAAAATTCTCCCTTTTGGGCTCATAACATAGGAAAATCTTATTTTAGGAATGAATGATTTAATAATTTGATAGGATTATTGATATGTGATTTTGGTTATGTAAAAAGTAATTAACTACTTATTAATTAGACTCTGAAGGTGTTTTTCATTAATTGAGAGTGTGAATTTCAAACCCATCCAAACACTTTCACTCTGTTGTGGTTCAGCTTCTCCGACACTGAAAGAAAAACACAGAGAGGTCTGGACCTGCTCACACACTCTCCATTGTTGTCAATACACAGAGGGCTTCTGTTTGAAGTGTATTTATGGCAGTCTAATCAAAACAAAACAAAGTGATTTAGAGCTGCAATAATTAGACGAGTAATCAATTAGTCATAATCGACAGAAAAATAACTATTATACAATATTAATTGTTAGTCATTTTTCATGCAAAAATGTCAGAAAATGCGTGAATTTGATTTATCACTGCTACCACTGCTAATTTGGCCTGGATGACATTTTTGTGTTTAAAGAAAGAATAATTTATTATTTGTATATTAAAAGAGGCTTTGTAAGACATCTAGCTGATCTTTGGGAACAGATAAAACAGTGAAGTGTGTTTATTAAAAACTATTAACGATCGATACCTCAGTGGATGTTAAGGTTAGGAGTTAGATTACTTCTGGAGTGGCTCATGTTTAAATTGTATGTACTATACAGTGCTTTACAATAAATGATGGTATTCTTCATTATAGAGCTACTAAAAGCTACTTTGTCCCATCGCAGTCTGTCTTCATGCAACTGCTTTCTATGTGTGACTCATATAATGTTTTTCATGGTTTGCAAAGGGGGAATAAAAGGTTGCGGGGAAATGACAAGTGTGTGTTTGTCCTCTGCGTGTGTGTCTGTGTTTCTTCAGGTTCTGGTCCTGGAGCTGGAGACCCGTCTGCAGAAGGAGCGCGAGCGTCTCGGCGAGCTGAGGAAGAAACATTACGAGCTGGCTGGGGTAGCAGAAGGCTGGGGCGAGGGAGAAGAGGGTAAGCACCGAGGACAGCCACTGTATAATAAATATACCCTTAAAATATTGTATAAAAGTGTCAGAAATGACTACAATCTGTCTTCTTCTCCACAGGCACAGGTTGAGACCCTGCCTCCTCTGTCATCCCCCTCCTCTACCAGAAAACCGGCTTCTGTCTGCCTCTTTCTATTTATACACACACTTTTCAGTCTCTTTCTCCCTTGTTTTCTTCTCTCTTTTTTTTTGTTTGTTATCTAAGCCAAATTAAAAGGTGCTTCTTTCTAAACCTGCTTCTCCACCCGCGTCCGTAATCTTCCAATCTTCCATAGAGGACAGCACCAAGGGCTCAGCGCCGGGAGAGGGGCGTTAAAAGGAGGAACTAATGGATGTAAGGAAGAAGAGACACAGCCTGACTTCACAGCCTCTTCTCCCCCAGGACTGTGTTGGTGCAAAGCAGTCATGAAGTGAAGTGGATCCGAGTATTTACTGTCTTTTTTTCTTCTCCCCGGTTTTTAACAACGGCGCTCCATTGAGGGGGGAGTCACAGCAGGGACGCTACGAGCACAAGTTCTACTCAAAACATCCCAGGATGCATTGCACAAGCTCTCAGCAGCAAGAGGGGGAGATCAGTGACTGTCTGGTCCAAAATCATGTCTCTGTGTAACATAGATGGCATGCATGCTCTCCTACTAAACGTTTGTCCCACGTTGTGAGCGTATAAAGCTGTTGGAGCCCGAGCTGCTCTTTATCTCTCTTTATTTTACTCCCTACTTTCTTCCTCTGCTTTTCTCACTGTGAGTTATCACCTTATTAAGTCCATACCACTTCACTGGCTGGTTCACTGGACTTTCTGCCTTTCACCTCCCTACCATTGTAATGACCTGTGACTGTTAACTTGAGACGACCCCTTCTTTTTTCTTTTTTAACAGAAGTTTGCATGGAAACTTTTAAAAACCGCTTCAGACTGTCAGCGCGCGGAGGAGTCGGGGAGTCGTTTTCTCTTAACAGTCTTCTCCCTCTGAGCTTTTGAGACTCCCAACTACCTCATGCTACATCATCAGAGGTAGCGGTGCATCATGGGTAGGTCTGATGAGGGAGAACCGTTGCCCAAACACTAATGACAAGGGGTCATTTTTGTCTTTTCCCCTTTTTATTGGTTAAAGGAAGGAAAGAGGGTCGTGGGAAGAAAACCTCTTTTTATACAGAAAAAAACACTTTTGGGTCTGCTAATTTGTTTCCTAAGGCAGCAACAGTTGCGAAGGAAGTCTGGCAGAAAAGTTGTCAAATAAAGTTTATGACCTTCATTGGTGCATATTTTTTTTTTTTTTTTTACA